ATAGAATTCCAGGTAAAATTTAATTCTTACTAAGCATACCCCATCTAGAAATTCATACCGGTGTTGTATTTATTTAGTTTTCGAATGACCATAGTACCTTAACAACATGGAGCAAAAAGCTTGGTAGAAAGAGATTTTGAAACCTATGAAAAGTTAAAGAGATTTAGTAACCAATTAATATTGATCCTCTCTAATCCATTCCAAAAATAATATTCAGCCTTTCTATATCGATAGAGCATCCCATGCATTGGGAAAACATTAAAGCTGTGGAGTTGCTAAAATTGAAAGGTTGTTACATAGTTACGTATTGACACTAGGCATAGATGTTGAAGGTGGTACACCATCACAACATGGCGTCTTAAATTCAAATTTCTATCGCGAGTAAAGAGCTGCAGCAAATCCGAGTTTGAAAAATGTCACCTTCGCCCGACTAAGTCCAAGCCCGATTCCTTAAGAACTTGCGGAACCAACCTAATTAATTTGCGACCTCGACTATCGAAGTAACGGAAAAAATTTTGGTGAACATGAATACATGGTCCAGTGTCCTAAAACATAGTCATGGGAATTTCTGTGTATAAAAACTTCAACCATAAAACCAATATGAAAAGATATTTGAAACTAAAAAATTGCTATAAACCAATTCCCGTCAAATATTGGCTCTTAACAATCCACTTGAAAGACAAATAATGTAAAGTTATGAGAGCTTAAAATTTTGGGAAGATTACAAAAAAAAAAAACCAAGACTGCACTTTCTATGCAACTTACCTTCAACTATGCAACTTACCTTCAACTTAACTTTTTCTCACATTGGAAAAAGTTTGTTTTTCCCTTCTTGTACACAAAAATCATTTTGGCCATATTTTTTACTCTTGGACCCCAGTAGTGCATTGGCGGAGCGCACCATCACATTGCCGGAACACACAAATATCGAACCGAAACTAAGTACTATCGTACCACCTTTTACATAGTATTGGAGCCCTGGAATCTAGTAACATTTATTGTCGAACCGCCATTTGCAATTGTCGGACCACCCTTTGCAACTGTGAGACTGCACTTTATACAGTGCCGATGCCCTACTGCCGTACCGCATTTTACATAGTGTCGGAGTGCTACTGCCAGACAGAGCCCCTCTTTGCCAGACCGTACTTTAAATAGTATCAGAGTGCTACTACCGGACTGCACTTACACAATAACAGAGCCCCTATTTTGGTGGGGTAGAGGAGAGAGAGGCGTGGGTGAGGTGAAAGTAAGAGAGGGTAGTTTAGGAATTTTTTTTATTTTTTAATTGGTTGGGGGTATTTGCGTAGAAAGTATATTTTGGGAGAAAAAGTTAGGTTGGGGGTAATTTGCATAGAAAGTGTAGTTTTGAGAGTTTTTTTATAATTTCCCCTAAAATTTTCTAATTGTGTTTTATATTGTTCACAAGGTGAATCAAAGATAATCTCGTAACTTTACATAAAATAAAAATAAAAAATATGTATCAGTCTTGGTCCATTTGTAATAGTGCTCTTGTAAGACCTCTCATGTACCGTTATTGAATTAGTGAATTATTAATGATAGCAAGTGCATCCAAATAGACCTTTAATCTTTTTCTAGATAATTTATTAATTGTTAAACCTATTGTAAATGAAGATGATTTTGAAATCTCATTCATTTAACAAACATCACCCTTCCATCAAGGAATACTTTGAATAATGGTTGAAACATATTTCTTTACAGATCCGTTAATCTACTAAATTTTAGCGCAAACCAAAAGCGATTTTTCAAGGGCCTTGAAATTGTAAAAGATTAATCAAAAGTTTGTACTTATTGTAACGAGGTACTTAGATTCTCATGCTTCAAATTTCATAATTGAAAGTTCTGAATTCGGATTCTAGGTTTCAGTTGCCAAACATGCCCACAAAATATAGTCTTGCGCCAAATGTGACGTTGAAATATGGATTTTGTCAACCCCGATTTGGATCCATTTGGAGAAACCAAAGCAGATGCGGAGTGGATAACCAAAGAGAAAGTTCACTCATTGCTTTTTTCCAATCTCCTTTGTCTTATGGGCACCGCTAGTCCTGTGCGGTTTGGCGCTAATAGACTCTTAGAATATCTGCAGTGAACTCTTTGTATATTGATGTATCAAATAATATATAAGATCAGTATAAATATACAACTAATAACAGTTATGAATATATAAATATTATCTTATCATAATAAAAGATACATATCCATACAAGGACAACTAATCATATCAAGAGATACATATTCATACGATATGTAACACCCCCGCTCAAACTCACGATGCTTTTAAAGAAAGCAATTGGAGTTTGAACAACAATTTTGGAATCCATCAGTTGGATCTTCATGTGCACAGCATCAGATTGCTCGATCAACAAGGATGGTTGGACCTTAGATTTTGAGTTTAGAACAGTAAGATCCAAGACAAATCAACAGGCATAACATGATACGAGCAATACCATATTAGCAAGCCTCATAAACAAAAGGCAAGAATAGAGCAGCTCGAACAACGAGAAATCGACAGACTTTAGCAATGGACAAAAACCTCATATCTTCACCAAAGATGAGAAATAATCGAGACAACTGAAATAACAGAGTGGTGCTTGAAGGAGCCAACACAACTCCTTGTTTTTTCTATGGTTCAAATTCGAGATCGATTCATTAGCTCACAGACATGAACAGACAGGATCGAGCGATAGCAAACCAACAGGCCTCTAAAACATACAGAATCAAGTAACGAGAAATTTGATCATCGAAAACAATAATACAGTATCGAATAACTGAGAACTCAATCATCAAATAGGATCGAGTAACAAAAAACTCAATTATACAGAATTTTTTAGGTCGAGTTTCAAAGGGTTAATGATAGTATTAGATCAAAGTGGCTGGGTGAGATTTCAGTTAGATTTGAACCCCAAGATCAAGACACAGAAGTAAAATCATGCAAAAGGGTTGTTTCTCATATGGGCAGATCGGTCGTTTTTAGAGGTAATTTTTCAAAAGTGGCGGATTTCAGATCCGGCTCCGCCTCAAGGCCTCATAAATGGCACAATCACAAGCTCCCAGAGGCAAACACAAGGCCAGCAATCAGCAAAAGAATCAGTGCCTTACGAGCTGCTTCAAGATAGTACTTATCAAAGCCTTAAATGTAGGCCACCAGACAACAATTTACAGCAGATTCTAGAGTGAGAAACTGCAGCCCAAACAACACTTTACAGCATTCAAAGTTCTCGACAGGAATGTAGAAACTAAAGCACCCACAATGCGTATGGGTCATGGATGAGAGAAGCTGTAGATTTGTCGAATCAATGAGTTCCCTCATGGGTCATGCTGAAATTAAGATTAAGGAGTTAGAGGAAAGTGAAGATATATCGCTAGTGAGAGAAATCATAGAGTATTTACATGAGAATTTGGGGACGGACGAGACCAGCCCTCCATAAATTCTAAAGGGAATTGTTGATGTTAGCCCACTAACTCACAGCTATATATGAGTCCAATTGTCTAGGTTGAATATTAACTGATCTCACAATCACGACTTTATTTCATGTTTTAATTTTAATTTTTTTAAAAAAAATTTAAATAACTTAATTTTGGGCATACATTCTTTAAAGATAGGATAATCTAATAAAAATATCAAAAACATAATTTGTAAAACTAAATTAACCAAAATACCCACAAAATATTTCAAAAGTATTTGATCAATTTAGTTTTTATGAATTATTTTTAAAATTTTTATTAAGTGCCTATGGATGAGAAGAATGAACACCTAAAATTTCATGTGATTTGAATTTCAAAAAAAAATTAAAATTTAAATACGAAATGAAGTCACGATCGTAAAATCAACCTAAATTCAATCTAAATCGTTGGACTCATATGTAGTTGTAAGCTAGTGAGCTAACCTCAGCCTTTCCAAATTTTAAATTATTAACAAAAACAGCATATGAACCCATTGAGAAATAAGTAATAATGTATGAATAACTAACAAATACTACATGGGAAAATTTTATATAGAGCCTAAGCTCTAAACAATCAAATTAGAGCCTACTTCAAAATTTTCACAAGAAGAGGTTGTTTTGATGCCTAAATATCATCAAATTGATCATCTCCACATCAAGATATATGAACATGAAAAAAAAATGGATTTTAAATTTTAGAAATGATGCATCTTGCAAGGCATTCTTAGATCGTCAATTTTCAAGATTTTAAAGTTTTCATAAATCAGCTCGATCTGCACTATTTTTTAATCTTTAAATTTTATAACAAAAGATGAAAATATAATTTAATGCTATCACAAAACTTCCTAATATTAAAATTATATTTCTACTATTTAAAGACGGGATTTAATTTGATTGTTTAGAGCCTCGGCTTTATACAAACTGCACCCATATTAAATTGAGAAATAAATAGATACCATGAGAAACCATTAAAGGAGAGAAGGGAGAGAATCATTGGAGAGAGATTTTAAATGAGAATGATGATAAATATAAGGGAGAGATTTTAAAAAAAAAATAGAGAGTTAGTGAAACCATAGAGAGGGAGAGACTAGGAGAGATTTTATGAAAGAGGGAGAGAAAAATAGTGAAAGCTTGGAGAAGGAAAGAATGCGAGAGATTTTTAAGAAAGAGGGATAGAGAAATATGGAAGAGTAACCATAGAGAGAAAGAGTGGGAGAGAGAGAATATAGGAGAGAGGGAAAGAGAACGGGAGAAATTTTAGCAAAAAGGGATAAACAACTACGGAGGAGAAACGGTAGAGAGGGAGAGAGAGAAGAAAGAGAGTGAGAAAGACTTTAGAAGAGAGAGTAATATGGGGAGAGAGTGGGAGAGAGATTTTAAGAAAGAGGTGGAGAGAGTGGAGAGGGAGTTATAGAGAGAGGGAGAGATGTGTTATCTTGAGATAGGGCAATTTTAGAAAGAATAAGTGGGGTGGTCCTCTCACTTAATATATAAAAGTATATTTATATATATATATATATACAGATATTTACTTAAGGCTTTGACGAGGAATAAAAAAATTGGCATTGTCTTTGTTATTAGGCAACATCAACAGCTATAAGTCTTTCTTCTACAAATTTCCCTTGAATGGAAACTGTAGATTTATGTGAAGAAAACCAAAATGAAAAGAACCACAAAGATAAGGAACAGAAACAATATCATCATTATCTGCCCCTTCAGCCCAGCTTTCTTCATAACCATGGCCACCTTTTTCTGCCAAAAAAAAGAAAAGAAAAAAAGAAAATATTTAAATAAATGCATCTTTCCGATATTCAGGAGAATCGAAGAATCCATGAAAATTCATCTAACCTGAACAAAGTCAAGCTTGTTTGCTGTTCTGTCCATTTCTGAGTTCAAATCATCTAAAAGTTTCTCCTGCACATAATGAACATAAGTGATATGTGATAAAAATGTAAACTATAAAAAGAAATAAGAAAGAAAAATCATAAATGAAATTAACACACACACACACGTACATTTTTATTTTTATTTTTGGATAACTCACACACATTAGACAAGGTTTTTTGCATGTCAAATTTGATAGCCCTACTTGGGTTAGATTTTTAGTGATGCTTGGGAATTTTCTCATAAAGCTTACCTGACCCATAAGTTCTTCATGTATGGTGAGCCCTATGCCTCCAATCTTCTGCACGCTCGCACTAAGCTCATCCAGCTCTTCATCTTGCTGCCTATGAAATCCGAGGGGGAAGAAAAAAAAAACTCTAACCACTTTTGATAGAAAAAAGCTGTATGTTTGCCAGAGTAAACATTCATTCCTAAACAATTTGGGGCCCTTGGCTTACGTGATCAGGATAATAGAGCTACCATGTGACATCAAGGATCTATTCTTACCCGTTAAGATGTCAAAAAAGGAAAAAATGGCAGACGAGTGAAAGAACTGGTCATTTCCATCAAGTGTTCTAGAAATTATATTGGAAACTGGTAAAAGGAGAAGAAAAAGACAAGGGTAAATGATGCAGAAAAACAGGAGAGGGAAAAAGCTAAATTTCATTGTATTTCTCTTATAAGTCTCTAATATTCGTTCATTTCTTATCGACCTTACCTTTCATTATTATTCCTAAAATGTTTGTAGCTTAGTTTTTCGTGATTTTTTTATAGGAATTAATTTTATATGAACATATATATACACTAAACTACAGATTTAAATTTCAAAAATAGTGTGAGAAATAAGAGGGTCAAAGTCTGGTGATAATAGGGAAAACACTTTCATTCCTTCCTGAAACTGCCATTATTTATGAAGAATATACACAGCTCATAACTGAGAACCCTTAGGGTCTAGCTATTTACAAACCTACAGGTAGCATAATTAAACAAGCACTCTCATAGCATGCACATGCATACTCATGGCTTCCATGAAAGGCAAATGATAATGGGAGAAAATACACAATAATCCAATAGACAATGGAAAACCATGGTCCACTGGCACTATCACCGTCCAATGAAATGATGAACTCTTACAAAGAGAGTGAGAACCACCATCAGGGTCATGACCTATTCTGGCAGGTCTCACTCTCTCTCTCTCACTGTCCTTTTGATGGGATGGTGATGACCCAAATGAATTATGAGTAAATGAATTCCACTGAATTATAACATATGTTTGCAAATAAAAAAGTGGAGAAATAGCTTTTCAGCTTGAAGACACGAAAAATAATTTACTTTATGAGAAGCACTTGTCGATCCGATTCTGATGAGATGAAATCATCATTGCCTTGTGGGTCTGGATACTGGCTCGACCTACCAGCCCCATGGTCATTAGGTAACTTCATAAGCTCCCGCCGCATCCCATTTTGACCGAGACTATTCTTCTCTTTAGCAGCTTCCAAAGCTTTCCTCACTGTGGCCACCTAAAATGGAACCCTTCATTTTGATCATATCAAGCAGGTACACTCAAAAGTTTATGAATTTAAAAAGTATAACTATGAAAATAGGACAGAGCAAGTAGGATAAGTTGCCTACAAAAGAAAAAAGTAGATATGATCTTAAGAACATACCATGTGAAAAAGGATAATTTACCCAAAAGAAAAAGGTCAGCAGAAAAGGGTCAAGTTAAATTTTCCAGTGTCCCAAACGCCAATATTGTATAAGTTGGTTTCACAAACCAAAAGCAAAGTTAGGGCGATTTTTATGACCTGAAATTCTCAAACCATTTTTTATCCTGACCAATAATAATTTGAGCAATCAAAACCCACTATACGATTGTCCAACAAATCAATTAGTCTAGAGTCTTTCTTGGAGTGGAATGATTCAGAGCATATTTTTGAGCTCCAAACTATATTCTCTTTTAAGAATGACTTTGAAAGTGAACAAAGATGAACAAATGCCCCTAACTAGGTGGTTCGATGGTGGGCCAAAGTGTACAGTAGTCATCCATGGGACCTTGGGAAACTTTCCCCAGTGATAAATGGCCCCAACAAATTGGTGAAGAAAAGGACAATCTTACCCAAAAACATGTCCGTAGAAAGGGGGAAGAAGTGAGGAATAACCTGAAAACTAGTTGAAAAGGACAAGTCGCCCACAGAAAAGGTCAAAAAGTATAGAAGGGTCTAACCATACCTGATTACGAGCACCACTGGTCCACCTCCGTCGCTTTTCAAGCTCAAATTCATCAATGCCATACCAGGATGGATCCCTAGCTGCCACTGCAATCGCCTTGTCCAATTCATCTACCTACCTATCACAAACAAAGTGCTCAGCACCAAAAAGTAATACAAACCCTATTATGGACTATGGAATAAAAACCTCTCTCTCTCTCTCTC